TATATATATATATATATATAGATAGATAGATAGATGGATAGCACCTGATTATTAATATATATATTTGGCCTGAATCAAACCAACCCTATGTCTAATAGTGTTTTTCCCCTTTTCTGTTCAGTTGTCTTGCAGTAAGCGGAGGTAGTTCCTTACTCTGAGCTCTTTTGTGCTTTGTCCATGCTATTTTATGTTACACATAGTAGCAATGTTTGATGTTGTTGTTTGTCAAGATATAGCGCTGAATTTATTTCCCTTGCCACATTCTTCTCTTTTTTTCCCCCCCTTCATTTCCTGATTCTCTTGGTCTCCCATTCTGAATGTTTTCACCCTGTTTTTTTTTTTTTCTTCTTCTTTTTACTGTCTGTTATCTACCATGTCTCTCATTCTTGCTTTTGCTCTGTGACTGTCTGTTCTGCTCACTCTCTGTCACTTCCTCCCCACAGAATGTGTGAATGCATTTGCCTTGGTGGTTCGCCCTCCGACTGAACAAGAGAACCTGTTGTTTAGCTTCCAGCTGGCTGGAGAGGACACGGTTAAAAGCACCTGGCTGCGAACACTTTGCCGCCATGTTGCCAACACCATCTGCAGGGCTGATGCGGTGAGAAGACACACGCACACAAAGGCAACACTAGTGATTTAATCTGGCAGATTAGCAGGTACCTGTGGTGACTCTTTTTTTTTTTTTTTTATAGGAAAAGATTGTTGTCGTTTCACTTAATTTTATTTTAAATAAATTAACATTGTTAATTACATTTTTTTTTTCAAACTGCACAGAGCATTGAAAATTTAAGGAACCTTGTTCTAAATTAAAACCTTCAAAGCGCAGTGAGGCAAAGAAATCCAGTCCATTCAAGGTTCTCATTTGCACAAATGAAACAAGAACATTCATTTTGTACATGCATGTCATGTAAAACACAGCGATAACCTCACAACAAAAATTACTCTGCACACAGGAGTGATCCAAGATAAAAAATAAAAAAATAAACACAGCATAAACTGAGCAAAGAAAGTAAGAATGCCAAACATAAGCCCATATATACATTACAGGTGTGATTTCTAACCAAAATAAGTCGCTCTGTTTTCTAATCAGCTACTCCCATTATTACAGCTAAGTGCATTTGGGTTTCACATTTCAAAGACATTGAATACCTATGTCCACTACATGCAACAAGTCAGATAAAAATCTTAATGACAAAGTCATTTTACATCTATTTTATAAACAACATTAGTCCTTATTCAGTGGAGAACAATGATTCACTGATGAGAACACAGTTTCAATATAAATATTTTTTTCTGATATAAAGACAAGGCAGCACTCGTGGTGCAGGGGAGAGTCTTTGAAAGAAGGGGGCAACTCCAATTCGATTTGTGTTGCCGGTGAAAGGGGACCCCATCCCTCTTGCAGAGTGGAGAGAGGGAGTGGAGTTCGAGTTTAGCGGCCCCGGTAAACGACAAGCGTGGCGATGCGGGCGCTGTAAAACATGCGTCTGGTGACACTTTGTCCACAACCTTTCCTGGCTGACCTTGGGAGGGGAAACTTGAGTAGCAGCTTATGTTCAAGGAGCTTGTAAGTCAGGTCTTAAAACCGTGAATCAAGCAGATCTCGAGCTGCGGACGTGTCACCTTTGATGCCGTGAGATGCTATTTTAAATTAATTTTATATTTTCTCTAATCACAGGAACTAACAAAAATCCTGACCTATGAGTCAATAAAGCATATTGGTTATGTACTTAATTAAAAGCTATGAAGGGTTGTTAGCTGAAAAAGCAGCAGGGGGCATCATCAACCTCTGGTCTGCTGCTCTCACAGCTGCATCCTCAGTGCTGTTTTCAGTAGGTCAGTGCTGCAGTATGAATACAAACGAGACATAGCTGTGCTTTCTGAAAGGAACTGCAGAACGAGTGAGGGAGGGGGGGGGGGGAAAGAAAACCTTCAAAGCGCAGTGAGGCAAAGAAATCCAGTCCATTCAAGGTTCTCATTTGCACAAATGAAACAAGAACATTCATTTTGTACATGCATGTCATGTAAAACACAGCGATAACCTCACAACAAAAATTACTCTGCACACAGGAGTGATCCAAGATAAAAAATAAAAAAATAAACACAGCATAAACTGAGCAAAGAAAGTAAGAATGCCAAACATAAGCCCATATATACATTACAGGTGTGATTTCTAACCAAAATAAGTCGCTCTGTTTTCTAATCAGCTACTCCCATTATTACAGCTAAGTGCATTTGGGTTTCACATTTCAAAGACATTGAATACCTATGTCCACTACATGCAACAAGTCAGATAAAAATCTTAATGACAAAGTCATTTTACATCTATTTTATAAACAACATTAGTCCTTATTCAGTGGAGAACAATGATTCACTGATGAGAACACAGTTTCAATATAAATATTTTTTTCTGATATAAAGACAAGGCAGCACTCGTGGTGCAGGGGAGAGTCTTTGAAAGAAGGGGGCAACTCCAATTCGATTTGTGTTGCCGGTGAAAGGGGACCCCATCCCTCTTGCAGAGTGGAGAGAGGGAGTGGAGTTCGAGTTTAGCGGCCCCGGTAAACGACAAGCGTGGCGATGCGGGCGCTGTAAAACATGCGTCTGGTGACACTTTGTCCACAACCTTTCCTGGCTGACCTTGGGAGGGGAAACTTGAGTAGCAGCTTATGTTCAAGGAGCTTGTAAGTCAGGTCTTAAAACCGTGAATCAAGCAGATCTCGAGCTGCGGACGTGTCACCTTTGATGCCGTGAGATGCTATTTTAAATTAATTTTATATTTTCTCTAATCACAGGAACTAACAAAAATCCTGACCTATGAGTCAATAAAGCATATTGGTTATGTACTTAATTAAAAGCTATGAAGGGTTGTTAGCTGAAAAAGCAGCAGGGGGCATCATCAACCTCTGGTCTGCTGCTCTCACAGCTGCATCCTCAGTGCTGTTTTCAGTAGGTCAGTGCTGCAGTATGAATACAAACGAGACATAGCTGTGCTTTCTGAAAGGAACTGCAGAACGAGTGAGGGAGGGGGGGGGGAGAAAGACTCACCCTTCCTGCAGCTGATTTAACAAGAAAACACTCTGTAATATTTTTACAGTGCAGTTATTGACCATGTCGGTTAAACATCCTACCAAATTATCATGCTATGCCTATGTCTGCTATGTAATCAGGAGGACATGATTCAGTGCACAGACCCAGACTCACTCCAGGTCAGCACCAAGGACATGGACAGCACCCTGAGCAAAGCCTCGAGGGCCATCAAGAAAACCTCCAAAAAGGTAAAATAAATAAATAAACAATCAAGTGATGGATTGCACCACCTTGTTGACGATTGAGGGAAATGATACACCAGCAGAGAGATCACCTTCTCGGTTTATTTTAACCTTGCATGTTACAAGATATTCCCAGTCTTCTTTCGTCTCTTCCCTTTAGGGGTCGTGGAACGTCTCCGTTTTACCTCTTCTCCTTGCTCCTCTACTGTTGTACCAACCATCTCCATGTTGTCCTTGACGACATCCATGACTCTTCTCTTTAAATTTTGCCTCACAGAGAGGCATCTAGCTAGCTCATCAAATGTCCAAACCATGTCAACCTCACCTTTCTAACTTTATCTCCAAGCCGCTCCACCTCAACTCTCCCTCTGATCTACTTATTTCTAATCCTGTCCAAATCTCAGCATCTTCAGCTCTGCCTCATCCAACTCATCCAAGTCTTTTGTCTGTTAGCCAGAGCCACTGTCTCTAAACCATACATCATAGCAGGTCTCACTACTGTCTTTTAAAGTCTTCCCCTTTCAAGTTTACTGCTATTCTTCTGTCACAAATCACCCCGATCCCTTTCTGGACCTCTTTTGCACTGTCACTTTGTCCTGGGCGATATGGTCCAATCCACCTTAACCAACCTTTCTGCCCTCCCTTTCTGGACCTCACTTTGTCCTGGGCGATATGGTCCAAAAATCATATACCACTGTCCCCGTTTTTTTTTACATAGTCTTGTCAATAAGTCAGAGCATGTGTAAATGAGTTCTGTGGTTTCTTTTAAATTTAAAGCATGAGGCAGTGAAAGATGCAAAGTTTGAGTTCCTCATCTGACACTGTAAACCCCAAAACACCACCAAATAAAGAAGCTGCATTAAGTTAAGTGTTCTTGCTTCTGTAAATCAGTAGAGTCTTCCCCAGCGTTTGCTGCGCTGTCCCTCAGTCAGACGGGTGGAGTAGAATTTAGAGACTGAAAGAAAAACAGCCAGTAACGGGCTGGCTTTATAAATATAATTTTAGGGTAGGATTACATATATCAATATGAACAATGTAGTAGTTTCATCCTATATCGCTTTGTCTTTCCACTTGATTCCCTCTTGTTTACACTCGTGTATTCTCTTGTTCCTCACATACTTCTCTGCCACTCCTGACACTCTCATACAATACATCAGCTCCGAGGCACATTTTTGATTGAAAGTCACATTCCTCTTCCTCCTCCAGTATTCCCAGTATTTAATATATCATGCGGCCGTTATTGATTATGAAGCGGCGCTGTTGTTGTAAATCTAAAAAAATAATACTTTGTTTTCTAGGTGACCCGGGCATTTTCCTTTACAAAGACCCCAAAACGTGCAATTCAGCGGGCGGTCAAGGCCAACAGTACGCCAGATGAAAAATCTCAGACACTGAGGCACGAGAACCGCACCAACAGTTCCTCCACGTTAGCTGTAAGTATGGCGACTTCAATAATCTTTTACTCGTGGTGTTTCATCTCTGTCTCCATCATCACGTCCCACGGGTCATTTTATACTTTTTTTTTTCTCGTTACTTGGTGACAGTCAGGAAAAAGAATATGACGTACTCTTAAGTTCCTCGTCTTCATCAGTGTCTTGCCGTTAATACGACCTACTGCCAATAAAAATGTCCGTTTGCTTATTGATTTAACCATTAAGTTTGGTAGCTCGAATTTTAGAGCTTTCTTTTAACACATTAGAAAAATGTTTATTTTCTTAAATATCTTGGAAAATTTAATTCCATCCAGTTTGGATTCATTCATAGCAACTGTTATGGCTGTCTTGTTTTAGTTAACTCCACTATAGCAGTAGCATACTATATACTATAGCATAGTATATTAGAAAATATATTTTTATTCAATATAATTTGTCGAACCACCACGAACATTAACTGTGCGTTATTTTCACTTTCAAAATTCATCAAGTGGGCCAGATTGAACACCCTAGCGGGTTGGTTTTGGCCCGCTGGCCTTATGTTTGACACCCCTGGAATATAGGGACGAGGAGAGGTGAAAATATATTGTGGATGGACTATTTTTTGTTTTTTTTTATCAAATATTATAGTAACATACACAGATACACATACGTTCAATCCAATTATTCCTAAAGTTGCTCAGAATGATCCGTGGTTAATTAGAAAAGGTTGGCTTTTAATTAGTTATTGACGATGTAGAAGCAGAACACGGCACATTGTGATTGACAACCGAGACTAGAGTCAAATTGGTCGCAGTGTGTCGTCTCAGCAGATGCACCGGTGACATTCCAAACAAAACAGGGTTTTAACTCCGCAGTATATAAAGTAGTGAGGTCAGTAAGTATTTGATACACGCTTACGTGTTTTTTTTTTCCCTTTACATACGAGTATTTTAGGAGTATTAGATGTTTGATTTGAACATACAGTCACTAAGTGTGGTCGCCTTAAAAGGTAAACTGTCTAGAGTGAATAATAAAATAAATCAATTTCACTGTATGAAGTGGGTCTTCAAGAAATATTATATTTCTTATTATTATTAATTTAATATTAAAAATGAGTGTTTTAATTATATTTAAAGCCATTCTGTATTTACTTCATTCCAGGACTATGTAAATATACATGGTGAATTCAACTAAGTTCAACTCAAATGAAGCTATTTTTGCCATCTTCATTTATTTTCCTAATCTCTGAACCATTTCTTTAACCACTCGTCTTTTTTCCCCCCTGAAGTTCCAGCTCTCGCCTTTTCCCCCATCTCCCTCTGTTCTCTCAGAAGCTGCAGAGAACATCCTCACTTTATTCTCAGTTTGTGTTTACCATATGTAAATGCGTTCCTAATGTGTCTTCCTTCCCTCTAGATGCCTCGCTCTGCCTCTACGTTCAGTTTAAATGATTCCACAAAGAGCAGTGTGATGGTTCAGCGCTCGAACTCTCTAGACCACCCCCCCGTCAGAACCCGAGTTCCCGTCTCTCTCCGCACCCCCTGCAGCCCCGCCCCGAATCCTCCCAACAGCCCTGTTCCCTCTCCTGCCCCTAATTTGTGCCCGAGTCCCGGTGCCTACAAACCCAAACCGATCTCTTATACATCGGCACCGACCCGACAAGACCAGGCCAATTCTCACACCACCCGTCAGTCCAACACGTCAACCCTAGCCACTGTGACTAGTGTTCCTGCTGGCCACAGCCCCAAAAGCACTCAGCCAAAGTCTAGTCAATACGTGTCCCGACCCGTGCCTCCCATTGGTGTCCAGCACAGGTCTCTGGCTCCTCAGCCTGCTAATAGCAAAAGCAAGTACATATCTGAGCCGTTCAGGGACTCACAAGTCCCTCTGGACCAAACCAAGGCCCTCCTGACCACTCAACGCAAGGAGACTCTGCTGTAAACCAGAACTAAAGTCAGACCCGGAGCCTTATGTGAGCACACTTTTTGTTGTTGTGTAGTGCCGAACAGGTGTACACTTCCTAACTCTCTGTCGCACTTGATACTGGTAACATCCTTAAACCACTGGTGTTTTTTTTTTGCTTCCAAATTAACTTTTCTAAAACTGAGTCTCTGTGTCAGTAAAAGATCAGTAATTAGTATTGGAAACATTTAGTGAAAAAAAAAAATTTTTTTTTAAATGTCTCCGTGTTTACTGAGGAGATTCGAACAAAATGACCAGCAGAGATTTTTAGAGGTTGATTTGGAAACTCACTCGGGTCTGTAACAGGTGGACAGGTCACTCGGTGGATACTGTGTGAAAAGTGGTGTCACTGGTTTTCTAACTACTGACTTTGGTTATTGTGGCTCATTACAACTTGACGTGTTGTAGTGTTTTGTTGACATTCACATGATCCTTCTGTCTGTTCTGTTGTTGGTGTATCACCAACCCAAAATAACTGATCCAAATTTCTTTATCTCCTTCATCACATTTTGAAGTTAGTTCTAGTCTCGTGTCAGTACATCTCGTTCCAGGTTGTGGTGAAACGCAGAGATGATTCATTAACAGCACGTGTTGTAGTAGTGCATTAGTAGTAGTATATGATTAGTATTAGCAGTACTAGTACATGAGTAGATAAAACCGACATATATTCTATTCAAAGTGGTAATTAAAAATGACTGACTATTGGTCAGTCAAATGAAATGAACATTGAAAAAAAAATCAGCAATAATAATAATCTTTAGAAATGGCCAGCCTCATAATAACTGCCGGGATAACTGTGAGATGAAAACAATCAAGAAACCAAGAAATCAAAAATTCCCAGTACTTATTTTGAACACTGCGCTGTCTTGTTCACACACAACAAAAAAGAAGAAGAAGAAAAAAAAAAAAGAATGGCTCATGAGAGTTAAAGTGTTGTGTGATTCTGGAGCCGGGCCAATTCCTCCTCCGACACATCTGCTGTTCTCACTTTTAACAACATCCTCCTCAGCCGTTCAACCGCTCCCCACCTGTCGGAGAGATACTCAGCTGTGACAAATGATTTCTGATGAAAATGAATGACGGAAGGTGTCTTCGTAAAGTGTAAACAAAGCGCACATCTGTTGAGTGAAACCTGCCAGTGGCTGGTTCGTAGGGGGAAAGCCTGTACTGCATTCCAAGCACTTCCATTCATTCATCTCAGAGAAGTCCTTGGGCCCAGGTTTGGTCTACAGGTGTAGACTGCGTTGAACGGCTGAGGAACAAAATGTTAGTTTTTCCACAGAGCTGCAAGGCTTTTTTTTTTTTTTATTTCATTTATTTAAAACTTCTCTGCTCTTAGTTATAATGATAATCCATTAACCCGTGTGACTGGCGAGCTGCTTTAAGAGAGGACAGTTTAACATCATATACTAAAAACCTCCCTTTTTATTTTATTTTGCACCTGTTCACGTATAAAGCAGCTCAGCAGATCCTTGTCTGGTGCAAACCACACAGGACTGATTACATGTTTAGCTTCCCGGCTGCTGCTGTTTGGTTTGGATTAATAGTTCAGGTGCACTGGCTTTTTGCAGGCAGCCCGTACCACTGAGCTCTCCTTACACGTGCCTGTGTAGGACCTCGTCGTTAAATCGATGTTGTCCTCAGGATTGTTGAGTTAAGTTGGCTATAGAACGCTCCAATCATTTTTTAAATTTTTTTTTAAGCATTTGTCGAAATTAAATAATGTAGCAGAGAGACAGATGCTTTAAATAGCAAGTAAGCAAAGTCTTTATGCTAATCTGAAAAAACTGTTCAGGCAATCCAGCAGCAGTCTGGCTACGCTTAACCTAAAATCACATATTTAGAATCTTTAAAAAGGGAATTATATGCAGCTTAATCCCTGCAGACTTGTTATTATTATTCATTTCTGTAATTATTTTCTATATTTGTAGACACACTAGGTGGCAGTATTGTGACTCTTAGGATGTGCAGCTGCCACTTGAAGGCTAAAAGAACAAGAAATGAGTGTAGTTGGATTAACCTAGCCTGGCCTAGACGTTATAAATCTCAAGTTTTCTTTAAAGCTATTTATGTGCAATATTTAATATTGATTTTTTTTTAATGTTTCAAATCACAGGATGGAATATTTTTTGAATAAAGCAGTAATATAGAAACACACATTTGGGCACATGGTGTTGCACAATAGTCACAGAATACCGCAATAATAACCCTTTTTTTTTTATTTTATTTCCTTTAAATCGCTTCTGTGCTTTATCCCGCTCTCACTTGTTCTTTTCTCTCCACTCTTCACAGTCCCATTACTCACCCTCCATGGTTCACCTGCCCACCATGTTTGAGAAGAAGTACCACACATTCAGCCGTTCGAGCACTCACCTCATATGAGACGCTGTTACGTGACCCGTGATGGTCGGCCATCCTCACTGTCGCAACGGAAATGCGCAACGCACATCAGCACAAGGTGAACTCCTCTCAGGTCTGCCATTCTCCATGCATTCATTCTACTCACCGAACCTGAAGATGAAGAACTGGTCCTAGATTTGTGGACACCAGTCTGATGCAAGGCAGTATCAGATGTTTTTTTTTCCAGATCAGGTTACCGGTGGGGCAGTTGTTGATCAGCCTGGGTCAATGTGGACTATTATCAGTCACCAGTTTTACTGAAGGCCATGGCCTTGTTTTTCTTTTTTTTGAAGGATATCACACTAACCTTGTTTTTTTTAGTTTAAGTTTAAAACTGACTTTAAAAACCAGCAAACAACACATCGAATTCTTCATTGGAGCGTTCCCGTGATGCCTGTGGGTTCGTCTTTTCGTTGAGCTTTGTCAAGTTACAGTAATATTAAAATGTCAATGTTTCTTCCCGTGCTGATAACAGAGGTAACTAGCACTCGTCTGTCCTGCTTCAAACCGACATCTGGTAGCTCTTTAAGCTACCTAAGAAAACTACATTAACATTTATATATTGTGAAAGGAGGTAGACTTATTGTAATAATCTTATATAAAAAGTTTTTATCTTTAGCTCTATGTCTGACTTTTTTTTTTTTTTTTTTATACCTTTCAAAACTTTTGCTTAACTTTGTTTCCTTTTTACTGTCCACTGTGTGAAGAAGTTTTTAACGTCTTGTCCGTCTGTGATGAAGGAGGAACGCTGCACAGCTGAACCTATTTATTCCTGATCAATACGTTGTCGTATACCTTTCAATTTCCCTTTTATTATTTATGGATATTATCTTCTGTCACTTTGTATCATGGTTTCTTTTACTAACCGCCGTCGTCTTTAAGCTACAGTTTTCTGTTGCTCTTTGATTGTTCTCTGTATTAAATGCACTTGTACCTTCAATTTTAAGCTGGTATCCCAAGTCTGTATTCGTCCTTTATCACTACGTTTTTTGTAGGAGGAAACTAAACTAAAGTCATGTCGAAAAATAAATCACTTATCTGGAAAGATATATTGTTTGATAGGTGCGTCTGTGATTCCAACAATTTGAAGTATATATATTTGATATATTTAGATGATTAACGTTGTCATTGTTGTGTTAATTTATTTGTGATATTAATCTGGCAAATTAAAAAAAAAAAAAGATTTTAACTAGCTTGGTTTGATACAATATGTACTGCAACTTTGAGAATCTGCTGATACCGATATCAATCCGATACCTTCTTTTCTCCTCCAGCATGCCGCGGGCCGCCTTTGCTAAAGTGTTAGTGTCCCCGTTTACGATGTTTGTTGTGCAAAATGAAGTGTCTGGCCTTAGGTATCGGATCAGATAATATTGACCATTTGGCCTTAGGTATCGGATCAGATAATATTGGAGAGATGCTAAATATTGGATCGAACCAATCCCTTTAAAATCCCTTAAACAGCTTCAGTTAAAGTTAACGATTTTTCTTGGAGCTTCCACTTCCACTGCTTCCACTCTGCTACAGTTTGAGTCTGCCTTATGTAACATAGTACTGGAAAAAAAAACTGGAAAAAAAAAACAAAAAAAAATGTGTTAACATAGTACTGGAAAAAAAAAACGTAAGGTCCTCCTCAGTTCTCATTTGTAATCCTTAAATGCTGCTTGTGAAGTTTCTGGATTTCCCCCAACAGGAAGGGAACTTTTCCTCTAATAAATCACTATCTGATAGTCCTATTCTTTGTCGGGACAGAAAATGAAGCATCTTCCCAAAAAAACAAAGGCATTGTAACCTAACCTTTATTCATTCAGTGGTTTGAATCGGATAAAGGTTAAAGACTTACTATTTGCTCAGCAGTTGTTCAACATCCAAACTGATATTTAGTACAAAAACCCCCGCTGATGGAATATTTATCATTTAGATGTCTTAAAATTATTTTGCGGAAAAAAACCCAAAACAATTCACAGCTGGTCTTGACCAAATATATCTGGTGGTAGTAGCTATGATTAATTGCCGTTATTGTAATGTTTATTAATCTAATTTTTCACGTGTCACTTCGCAGTGAGTCTCACTGCTGGTGTATGCAGTCCTTGCAATAATAGTCCTACAATGTCTCTAACCCCGTTGCCCGTAGCTTGGTGGTGGAGATACATGGTCGGTGTATAGAAGAAACCTTTGACCATCTAAGTACGTTCAGAAAGGGTGAAGGGTCAGAAAAACAGCCAGCAGTTCCAGTCTTTCAGATTTGTCAAGTGAAAGTATATTCATTATTCATTATAACAAGTCGTCCATCTGACCTTCTTCCACTTTTGTTTGGTCCTCATTTGTCCCCTCTAAAAAATTACTAATTCCACCTACTGAAAACACGCACTTATAATACTAACATGCAGTTCTTAATTTGTAAAATGGGAGGTCTCAGAATGTAGAATGGGTCACGTTTCTGTTCCAGCCAATAAAGTGCAGAGAAAAGTCAGCAATGGAGGCAAAGAGTCTTCTGCCTCACCTCAACGGCTCGTACGTGAACTGAAAGTCGACGCCGAGCTAGAGCCAGTAGTAGGTAAAGAACGGCGTTTTCTATGCACCTGCGGATCAAAATCACTATGAATTGTATTTCAAGACGGAAATATTTCTCAAAACTGGACTTCCGGTCCAAACCGAAGATGATAAGGGATGGAAGACCCACGCCGGAGTTAAATTGTTTGCGTCAAACTACGGGACAGAAGTGACGTTATTTTTAAACATACCGGTACAAACAAAAACACTGGCTGTGTGGCTGTCCTGAAAGAAACTGCCTTTACGGCTTTCCTTGCTTTTTATTTTCATAATGTAATAACGTCTGGACAAACTCGGGATACTGGGACCTAAAAAAAAAAAATTGCAAAGAAGCCTCAGCGGACATGAAAGATAATTGGCTGAACAACGGAGACTAAACGTGGTGAGGGAAAACCGAGCGATACAACAATGGACTTCACCCATAAGTAAAGGTAAGACTCAAATGTTTTTAAGTTTTTGTTTTATACAAAATAAGATGGGAGTAAGTAGAAAAAAATTCAAGTATTTGATAACTAAATTTTTGGCCTAATATATATATATATTTTTATCAAATTTATCAAATTGATAGACAGCCTTTGATTAAAGCACCAGAATTTAAAGTTACAATACACTAAAATAACAGAAATTTTAACTGAAGGTCAAAATTAAATATGTGCTTCACTCACCTCTATAGTTTAATTTGTTTACAGTAAATATGAATTGCTTAGACACCAGAAGGCTGCTCTGTCCATTTGTATAAAGTAACGTTTAATTGCATTATTTCTGTGTTGCTGGCTTGAATCATTGTTTTATAATCATTGAATACATTTTCTTTCTAAATCAAAAGATGAGGAGGAGGAGCCCAAAGGGGCATAGAAAAAAGTTGTAATCACAAGGGTAAGCGGAAGGGGAACGTGTAGAAAGAAAGTAAATATAGCTGGGAATAAATTAAGAAAGAACAAATGTCACAGGGACATTAGAGAAACAAAGATGTCTTTGCCTTCAGACAAAACGTGAGACAATTAGAGGCGGATTATCAAAGCGGCATCTTTGTGGGGTAAATGTCTTCAACTCTCTCTTTTTTTTTTTTAACAACAGGGACCCTTTCATTATTCTGTCTCTGTAACAAACCAGTCATCACCGATGAAGCATTGTAGTGTTCTAGAACGTGATGGGATGTGAGGCACAGACATTGACATTTTCTTTTGCTTTCACCCTTAACTTCCTTTGTGGTTTCACAAAAGACTTCTTTGATAATTATTTAGCTACAGTGCCGGGAACAAGTACCACTAATAATATCAGATTATACTGCGAATGAACTTGAAACCTGATATTTATTTGAACCTTTCTACTCAGCGGTACGTTTTTTACGCAATCAACTGGAAAACATTTAAAAACGAAAAGTAGTCTTTTTATGATCCTGTGTGTAAAGTTAAAGACTACATCAGAGCTGTTACTTGTACATCTGTCAGATGTGTAAAAACAATCAAGTCACTGTAGTCAGCAGGGACAGCAATCAGTGGTCTTTAGAGACTATGGGTGTATCCGTCTGAAAGTGAAGGACCTGCTCAGTGGGACGTAGGAGTTCAGTGAGACAGAGCTGCATTTTTTCATTTATTAAGGTGAACAACCAAGTATCTACAACATCTCACCAATGCCACTTGTCTCAATGTCCACTTCCTATATGCTCATCAGTGCGTTATTTTCTTTGTTTTTCCTATGTTGCTGTGCAGGTGTTCTGACAGCCCTGGACCACAGAGTCTTGCATTTGTTTCCTGTACTGCAATGAGATGTAGTGAGAGATTGAATAAGAACATACTGCAAATTTGTCTCTAGATTTAACATTAACATTTATGCATTTAGCAGACACTTACAGGAGGACGATTAATTAATCAAGCATGTGGTTCCTCTGGGACTCGAACCCAGGATTCCCTGCAGGTTTAAGTAATTTTCCATGTTTTCACTGGGCTGTCTGAAAAAAAAATAGTTCTGCTTCCTAATCATCATCATATCAAAGTCCAGCTCTTACACTTGACTGTGGTTTCCCCGAAAGTGCTTTTCTTTTTCTTTTTTTTTCCTTTTCTTTTTTTTTAAATCCAATTAGAATTTAGCTGCTACAGTGAAATGGTCCAAATGTTTCCCAGTAAAAGCCAATGATAGCTGATCTTTGAAGAGGGTTTAATGAGCTCTGCCCTTTCAGGAATGTCTGAGAAGAAAATTGCTTTTAAGGAAGCCACACTTTCCTTTGCTGTCAGAGAGCAGCCAGAACTGGTCCTGAACTAACCACAGTAGACCACTGCAGACGTGGGGACCTAAATCTACCAAGCTTATCTGTCTGTTAGAACACCCGTAGGCATTACGAAGCCCGGGGGCTTGGTGCAGAGGCAGAGCTTAGCCTCATCCAATGTGTGGTGTCCTTAAAGTAGAACATAATGACTTATCTAAACCTACAAAAAGCAGCATAATGAGCTTTCAGTGGTTTAGGAATGTTTTTTTTATGTAAAGCTTCATCTGGCACACAAGGTGACTTTTAGTATCCATAGAGCTACGTATGAAAAATATACAATGCTAATATTTACTATACGTTTCACTCCTGTTAGTTTTGCTGTCGACATGATTTTCCCTTTGCGTGCTAACTTTTCTGCTTGCTTAAATACACAGTACGTTCCATTTAAATCTGGCAGTCAAGACTAAATATGGTATGGCTTGATGGAATTAAGTTGTCATCTAAATCTTCAAATTAAGATCAAGAATAAAGTTAGACATTTCGTACTTTGTTATATGGCACTCAGTTTGTTTCTTATTCCCTTGTTTGTGTGAAAAAACAAATTAACAACAAAAAAAGTCACCCAGTGCCTTACATCCTAATTTGAATGCAATACCTGGAGAAATTTAGAACATTGTTGTCAAGTGTCATCGTTTTAAGGGTGACATTTTTTGATTAGTTGCCTCAAAATATTTTCATTATTCCATGAGTAAAATGTATAGTGTAAGTGTAAAGGCATATTCTGTGTGTTGTCCAATATTAATAGCCCCATGTCCACCACACAAACTGTACATTTTACACTTAATATTCCTTGAAGAAAACCATGCCACTATAGCAGTTCCTCGGTTATATGACGTCCTTGACCTCCGGTGTTTTGCGGTTATGGATTTCACACGGGAACTAGTAGGTGAGTGGAGATTATGAATGCATCGCCACGCGGCAGAAATACGTGGAAGACGGCTTTGTTTCCTTTCCCAGGTAGTACGTCGTACACTGGAGTGTGCTACATTTTCCCAGGTAGTAGGTCGTACACTGGAGTGTGCTACATTCGCTGTGTAGTTTCTTTGGGGACTTTTTCATTATCTCAGTAAGTCGGGCTCTTCTGATGTTTTTACGTCCTAGATTATGTTAGCATAGGTGAGTGACATAGGCATTTATCTACATCATGTGAGTTCAGACTCAAGTTACATTGCGCAAGGACCCGCTTTAGTTTTTTATATTCGAATATACAGTGGTGCTCTCGTAAATGGAAAATCTATTTTTCCTAACTCCAAAAGGACTTTTGTTGGTGTTGGATGTTTTGGTTGAGTTGAGTTGAGTGAAGTTCCATTTTTAAACCATTCATTCCAAGAACACAACAAGAATGCCCTAAATGTAACAATTGAGATTTCATGATAAAAAATGAAGGCACAAATAAACCTAAAGGCTTCAGAGACATACGGCCAATAAAATCCAGTTTCACTCCTTCATTTAACAAGAGCCCCTGCATGTTCCCTTAAAGGTTCTCACGTTCCTGTGCCTCTTTGCTAAGCCACTCAAATGGATACAAATTTTACAGAACACTTATTTCTCTCGGCCCTTGGCGTATTCCAATATACTGTGTATGCATATTCAACTACTGTGCGCATCACTCAACACTGAACTATGCAGTTGCCCTCATGACCCCAACGGCCCACCCGACAGGAGGGACCTGAAGCATCTTTTATCTTTTTGTCACAGCCACAGTATTTAATTACTGTACTCCCCTCCACCAGTTAGAACTGAAGAAGCCTCTTAGATGAGAGGCGAAACGTCTAGTTGCCTAACCTATGCAGTTTTTTTTTTTAAATCATCCCTGTAGCAGGAAACAGATCAGAGCTTACTGACATTACGACGGAGAAAACAAATCTAAAAAAAAAATTATAAATAAATAAAACGAAAACGTGCTGACAATTGACTCCTATGATATAACATTGAACTATAACTATTTAATTGTAAAATACTGTCATTTCTGATTCAAAATTAGATGGGAGAAGTTGCATTAATTGTAAAATACTGTCATGATTCAAAATTAGATGGGAGAAGTTGCTGTTAAGGCAGAAAAAAGCAATTCTTCAAACAAGTCAGAAAAAAAAAACAAAACCCAGATTGTTTCTGCCTCTCCAATAAACAATTTTGCTGCAGTTCAGTTTTGTATGCTGCTGACTTTGGCTTTGATTAGACATGTTTTCTTGTCATCAACGCACTTCTAAAAGAGAGTCGGCTTCGATTACCAACAGGCACAAACGCTCACAAAGAAAATGAAATTTAGAGTGTTTAAAAAAGGAGTTCAAAGCAATGCAAGAAAAATAGACCTGGAAAAAAATACATCATTCACGTACATATACGGTGGTCCCTCGTTTATCGCGGTAGATAGGTTCCGGGGCCTGCCGCGAGAACTGAATTTCCGCGAAGTAGTGACACCGTATTTATGCGCAGTAAAATGATGATGAGGAAGGTGATGATGACTTTTACTGCGCAGTCGATGATTGGTTTTACGTCTCTTCAGAGGGTGCTGCCATTTCTTGGGGCACCTCTTCCATTGAACCGTGAAATTTTTGCGAGGCTTCTTTTACCAGTCAAAGAGTAATTTTCAAAAAGCTGCGAAGTCGTGAATCCGCAAAAGTTGAACCGTGAAATAGCGAGGGACTACTGTACACATAATTAGGCAAAAGAATATGATTGGATGGTATAAAACTAAAGTCTGTTGTCTAATGACGTAAAGATTGAACTTTTTGGATTGGAAATCAAACCTCAGACATGATCATCCTCGACAACCTGGAGCTCAGACTGGGGCAAAGGTCAAAGACCCTTAGCACTAAGACACGATAAGGATAACTCTGCCAGCCAGAGCCTGGACCTGAAGCTCATGAACGCCTGCGGAGAGATGAGAAAATGGCTTCACGCAGAAGCAACCAATTCACCGTGATTGAGCCAGAGAGGTTTTTCGAAAGGCGAGTGGGGAAGCTGCCTCAAAAATCAGCGTGTCAGGGTTGTAAGCATCATACTTAGAAAGACTCTACGCTGTAATTGCTACCAATGGTGCTTGAGCAAAGTCAAAGTCAGCGAAGGCTGCTCTTTTTTTTCTTTTTTTTTTTTTTTCCAATTTCAAATTGTGTCGGGAATGTGCAGTGGAAAGGTGAATTTAATCCACGTATGAATGTTCCT